GGTAAACAAACCAGCCTGGCCTGGCCCGCCAGGGGCTTTCCCTACACAAGCGGCAGCCCCAGTTTGAGAAACACTGTTTTAATTTCTGTTTAACTAGCTTCCTCATTTTTGTATAGTTCCCCTTTTTTTAAGTCAAATTCTACCGTGGTGGGTTTCTTTGGTATTTTACCCCTATAAGGATGTTAAATTTAATTACATTATGGTTGCTATTACTGAGGGGTTCAGTTATATTCACCTATTGGACCAGATCCTGTGTTCCACTTGGGACTAAATCAAGAATTGCCTCTCCCCTTGTGAGTTCCAGCACTAACTTATCCAAGAAGCAATCATTTATGGTTTCTAGAAATTTTATCTCTGCATCCCGTGATTATACATATACAGTCAATATGGGCATAGCTGAGATCCCTTCATTATTATTGGGTTTTCTGTTTTTGTAGCCTCTCTAATCTCCCTGAGCATTTCACAATCATCATCAACCATCCTAGTCAGGTGGTTGGTAGTATATTTCTACCGCTATCCTCTTATTATTCAAGCATGAAATTTCTATCCACAAAGATTCTATGGTACAGTTTGAGTCATTCAAGATTTTTACTGTATTTGTCTCTGTGCTTTCTTTCACATATAGTGCCACTCCCTCAGTAGCACAACCTACCATATATACTCGATCATAAGCCAGTTAGTTTATAAGCCGACCCCCACAAGATGGATAAGTAAAAATGGAAAATGTTTATAACCCGTTCATAAGCCGACCCTATAATTCAGGGGTCAGCAAACTTTGTCTCCTGGGCCATCAGGATAAGCCGTCGGTGGGCCGAGATGGTTTTTTACCTCGAGTGTCCGCAAGCACCAGCTGCTTACCCTGATGGGCCAGGACAGCAACTGGTGGGGAAATTTTTTGGGGGGGAGAAGCTGGGAGTCAGGGGAGTAACCCCTGTGACCACCTCCCACATGACCCACCTCTAGCCCGGGAACCCCACGCTCTCCCCATCCCATCCCTTCCCACCTTATCTGGGGAGGGCCAGGGGAGGATGTCTCTGGCCTGACTGGAGCTGCTCCGGCAGGCTGGGCAGCGCGGCCGCAGCTTGCTCCGGTGGGCCAGACCGGGCGGCGCGGCTGCAGCATGTTCCAGGGGCTGGGCTTGGCTGCACAGCTGCAGCGTGCTCCGGTGTGCCGGGAGGTGCAGCCACAGCCTGTTCTGGGGAGCGGGGCTGGGCAGCACGGCCGCAGCCTGCCAGCCCTGGAGCTGCAGCTGCTTCGGAGGCTGGGGGGAGAGCAGCGTGGCCAGAAGCAGAGAGACTCTGGCCCCGCCTCTTCCCTTCTGGCTCTGCTGGATGTGCTGCCTCTCCTTGCTCCCTCTGTTGGGGGATAAGCAAAGCAAAGTTTGGCCAGAAATAGGACACTGTCCGCGGCTCTGACCCGGAGCGACCGTTTGCCTCCTTTGTTTTTTGATAGGCTT